AACGAATTTCGGCAAAAATATTGTAATATTCGTCGATAAGTTATGTTTGATCGAGTTTCCACATGCAGAAGAATGCTAAGGATGGAAATATCGACAAAGCGCCGGTCCAAAGGAATTTGAAGGAGAAATTTACGTTCAGTTCAAGGACATGGATCGAATACGGCGAAATTCAGGTGTTTTGTAGGCAAAGAGTATAATGTGACATTAGAGAACAAATTAACAATGTCAATCAAAGACAAAGTTACGAAGTAAGTTCATTGTATTAAGTCTTTATTGTTGTGACGTATTTTTGTATTTAATTAAGCTAAGTGTAGTACGCGCGAGAGTCACGCGACGTGAGAAACACGTTATTGATTGAACAACCGCCAAAATGACTGTTTTATTAATTTCGTGACTTGTTTGCAGGGACGCCGGAACGATAATAGGGCAAAGGGGGGCGGACGCACACCAAGGGCACCTTTACTTTTTTTGGCGACCCCCCCCCGTCGCCAAAAAAATTTCGGTCAGTGTACCATTTTAGGGGTCTTTAATTTTTTTCCGGACATACAAAAATTTTCCGTGAATCCAAACATTTTTCCGTATATCTTAAATTTTCGCCATTTCTTCAAAATATTTTTCTAAATTCCAAAAATTTCCCAAAATTTTTATAAATATAAACTATCAATTACCTGAATCTCGTGATTCTCCTACAAAAAGCATCGTTGGAAATGTGATTTATCACGTATTATTTTACAACTAAAAGGGCACTTCTGCCCCCCCCTAGCAAAAGGCAAGGGGGGCAGCCGCCCCCCCTGCCCCCCCAGTTCCGGCGTCCCTGCTTGTTTGTATACATTTTTGTATAAATATATGTTATAAAATTGATTAGGAACCTTTAAAATCTAAAATCTCTTACAACTGTTATTCAAACTGCGTGAATTTAATTTGGTTGCAGTAGCTATTTCAATTTTTAAATTTATTATACGGCACTCGTGACAAGCAGGTGTGTTTTGATTGGTTGGTTGTTAATAAATGTCCTTGCAGCTTTATTTTCCCTTCGCCATTTTTAATATTATATAGAATGAAATTAAATCTCTGGAGACTGGAACAAGGATAGTGCACATGAAAATCATGATAAGTCTTGGGTGGGTAATAATTACTAAAGCATTCATTCATAGTACAAAAGGACCCTTCTTTTGTAAAAATTAAACGAGTATCTTAAATTGTTTTAGCGTGGGCCTTTATTATGATTATAATTCGCACAGCATGATTAACATACCAAATTTATTCGAGAAAATAAACACTTAACACCTAACACTTGTAAATAGGTCAGGCATTTTATAGGCGAAATATTACTAGAATTGAAAGATCATTCTAGCTAGAGGGAAAAATGCCGTATCAATAAATTATTAAACACGCCTTAAATGAAAGCCACGCTGTAAGAAAGTGTTAGGGTCAAGTATCTCATGTCATTTAATACGTTAAATATCAGTGAGGAAGCGAAACTAGGATCAAGGCCAAGGGTCTGAAATACTTCATCTTAGAAAATTTGAAACGGCAGATTTAAACCATTGAAATGAATAGTTTCCTATTTTTACTGTTGCGAAGACACTGAACCGTTGGTTTTATTAATTTGTTTTAAATACCAGTACTAGAGTTTGTTTATGTTAATTTACATTTTACTGCTTAACGACGTATATTACACTCTCGGTAAAAACAAAGAGAAAGTATAAAACGTATAGGCGTATACTGAACAAAACTACTGTGGCGTTGAGTTGGCAATATAAACTGTCACTCCAAACTTGTCGCGTCATTTATAAATATTATAAAATTGTGACTTAAAGCACCAAGTCGTCCTCAGCAGTTCGCAATATTTAATTAAACAAGATAACAGCACGACAACAACAATTTTCTCTTTCGCGCCCTTATATTCGAATGACGCTCTTTCTTTGGAATGCAGACAAATTCCTTGCATATGCTATACACAGGTTGCTATGAAATAACGCAAATATATCAATATAAACCTAGATGCAGCTACTTTTAAGGCATTGAATTGAAAGCACACAACACAAATGGACCCGAGTGTCGTGCTTTAGCTTTGTGTGAACAGCTGTATGCCTGTATATGCCAATTTCGAAAGTAAATGACAAATTATATAAAACATAATACGAAGACACACGAACACTCGCACGAACACAGGAACAAATATAGTGGCACAACTGCCTCACAATACAGTATACCGTATTACTATATACAGAATTGCAATTACCCTGTAGACTGTACCTTTGGATATAAAACTGTATAATAAAAGTGTATAATAATTAACTGTTACATACAACACGTTTGAGCGAACAGTCCGATCGAATACATAATTAAATTTGTCGTTGATGCGACACGAGATCTGAGAACTATGACTTCGCAAATCGCTACAAAGCAGTTTATTCCCCTGGTCCTTGGGTGGTGTTTTCAAATATGTTACACGGCATGTGGAATATGATATTGAACCATGAGCACAAAACTTTTACAAATGAGTAATGAACACAAAATCTCGCAATTTTTGCTCATTTACAGTGTTGAATCACTCGAATGTCGCATCTTAGATTTGTTATAGATAATTCACACAAAGAATTAACATGAATTGCACATGCTATTCGAACAATATTCTCTCATTGCGGAACGAAAGTAAACTTTGTTCATAATCCATACTTTGAACGTTGCTCATGTACTGCAGCATAATATATAGACTAATCTAATCAAAGCAAAGTACATATGCACCACAATGTACAATATATAAGAAAGGGTTTAACATGAACTTACCTTACGAATTTCTGGTGATCTTCTAGTCCACAGCAGCTGTGTATGAATGCTTGACAACGCCTCACAATCGTTCCAAGTATAGGCCTTTATATGTAAACAAAGCTGTATACAATATCATTGGGGGGGGGAGGGGGATGCGCATTAAATCATCAGGAGGGGAGGAGTGTGCGTGCGTGACTACATACTGATATTTAATAAAATACATATGAGGCAATTACTAGCGTACGTTCTCAGTAATATTTTTAATATATTTTTTGAATATTTTGTTCCAGCCATTATAAAATTGTATATTTCGTATTAGTTTTCTGGTCACTTTATTCAAATAACAACCAAATGCCAAATCAAAATTCAGAATGTTCTGGAAATATATGCCTCGCCCATAATTATGAATTTTTCCCATCAATTATTTTGCTGGGGAAAACCAAACACTTAAGGCACTTACCCGGAACAGTATTTACGAACTTAATATGGTAAAAGCTACAACCAAAACCCATATTTCGGATACAATGAATTTCAATATACTGTATGGTGTCCAATCGCAATCATTCATTCATTATTTTGTTACAAAGAAATAAATATAAACATATTTGTGTCTGTAACCATTTATGAAAACACAGCTTTTTTAAAAAAATAGTAAAAGTAAATTTTTGAAATTATCCATCGTCTTTGTAGTTTGTAAGCACATATTCCAGAAACATGACCTTATTCAACAAGGTTGATGATGCAAAACATATTTTCTGATGTGATGTGTGTTGTAACACGCCCGAATTTTCTTGATTTTTCCAAGCATTTGCCCGAAGTTCCAAAGATTTATAATGTTTTGGTCCCTGCCCCCCTGTCTTCTACGCACATGCTATTTGTTTGTGACTATGACAGATTATAACTCGACGATTGATATCATATGACGATGAGATGGCAAAACACTGTATAAACTATCATTAGGTCAGAGGAATATCAGGTGTCAGTTTGCATGAGTACTCGTGTAAAATTGACTAAAATGATATTAATAGGAAATTACACTTGTTCTCGTATTAATGAAAAATCACCCTTGTGTTTGGCGAAATATTTATAATACCGCTCCTGCAACATACTCACAGAGTCATCAATAACTCACGGTATTATAAATATTTCGCCAATCACGCGTGCGATTTTCATTAACATAAATAACATTCCTAAGAATCTAAGATATGCGTACAGGTTTATACTCCTGACTCCTCAGATATTGCGCTACCCTTATTGAGTCAAAATTTACGATTTTCCCACCAAAATGATCGCATGCAAGAACCCAGTCCTTTTGAATCTGCGTGTATATTCTAACATTGCACATGGCCCGAAATGTAAACAAACGCTTTGTTTACAATTTGAACTCAGTGCTAAAGTTGTAAAATATGATTAGATATATATTATACTGAATTTTTAAGTTTTAACACTGGTTCGCTATGCAGCATACCCTATGCTTGTAAATGAATACAGACTAGAGATTCAATTCAAGAAAGTTAGGAAGGTGCGAAATATTAACAACATTCCAATGGTCGGGTGCACCAATGGTTTGCTAGTCCAATGCTCTACCCCCAATGTAGACTTGCCACAAGTCCGTCTCACCATTCTTCCCTAATCCCTAGCTTTTTATTGGGTGAGTAAAGAGGAACCGCGCGCGCGAAATAAAAATGAATGCTTTGAATGGGATTTTGCGAAAGTCTATATAACCCCAATGCTGTGCCGCTCTACAACAATGCTCTACCAACTCAGCTACGACGTCAATTAGTCCGTGGAGTGGTTGATATTTCTTATGGCTTAAATCTTAATTATGATCGCGAGATTACAGCTGAGATAATTATAAAGGACGCAATATAACCCATCACCGGTGTCCTAGAAAATTCCCCCCCCCCCAAA